GGGAACCACCAAAGATACTATAAACTTTTTTCGGGAATCAGTTTTGAGGAGGAAGTTGATACCTAATATTTCCAGACTTTGTGAGACAAGATGGAGTGAGAAACACAAAACCATCAGAGTTTTTAAAGAAAATCTTCCGGTAATTCTGGAAGCCTTACAAACATTATCTCAGGAAGGAAATAGTGCAACTCGGAAAAGTGCCTTCCAACTTCATGCGGCTACTTCCAGAATTTCTTTCATTCTCGGGATTATGTTGGTAGCCAAATACTCGGCTTTGATGGAACCCGTTGTCAACGTACTCCAATCTGTAGCTTTGGACGTGGTCAAAGCCTCGGAACACGTTAAAAGGATTTTACTTTTAATTAAAAACCACCGTGAAAATCTGGAAAAAGTGACAGACGAAATTATAAAGGAAGCTACTGCTGTTATGGAGAAAGTCGGACTGGAGGAGGACATTACATCAATGCCGCGTATTACGGGGAAACAACGTCATAGAAGCAATCATCCAGCAGAAAGCCCTTCAGAATACTGGAAAAAGTCTTTAGTAATACCATACTTGGATTCAATTATCACCTCCCTTGAAGTACGTTTTGTTGAAGAAAACACGCCATCATTCGCATTATCTAAGTTACACCCGGCGCAAATGCAAAAGATGACAACTGAAAATCTGAAACAAACATGTGAATCTAATGCCCAGTTTTATGATTTACCGAACATAAAGAATGAAATCGAACTTTGGCGGCAATTGTGGCACGATAGGCTTAATCTAACAAATCTTACAGTTGTTGATGTTCTAAAAGAAACAAATTCCTTCATTCCCGAAACGGAAAAAGCATTAAAAATTTTGATCGCTTTACCATGCACGACCTGTACAGTAGAGCGATCCTTTAGCAGCCTCAGAAGACTAAAAACATGGCTAAGAAGCACCATGGCAGAAGATCGCCTTAATGGTCTGGCCATGATGAGTGTACACAGAGCTATAATAAATAAAAACCTAAATAATTTGAATGATAAAGTGGTTGAAAGTTTTGCAAAAAATCCCCGCAGGTTATATTTTAATTAAATATTATTTTAGTTAAAATAAATATTACTGTGTTTAAAAGTTTGATTTAGTTATTGTGCTGTCGAGGGCTTGTGAAGTTTTATACATTGATATCAGAACCGTTCTTATTACAATCGTCATCGAGGTAAAGACTTCCAAAGTGTAACGCTTCATGCTTTCGACTGTACCAGGCGTTCATATTTTTATCCTCCATAATATTGCCCCATAGCTTTTTGGGTCTGACTGGTTACTTCAGTAAGTACATCCAAAATTATGCGTTGATAGCAAAACCTCTATCAGATCTCTTGAAGGGTAACAATCAGTTTCATTTTGGAATTGCAGAGTGTACGTCTTTTAAAACGACTTTTGTGTAAAGAACCCGTACTAAGAATTTTTAATTATAATAATGAAACAGAGTTACACGCTGATGCAAGTCAAGACGGATTATTATTACGGAGCGATATTATTACAGAGAAGTGGTGAAAATGTTGAACTGCGCCCTGTCTATTATTGGAGCAGAGAAACAAATGATGCACAAAGAAAATACCACAGTTACGAATTGGAAGTTTTGGCCATTGTAGATTCTTTGAACAAATTACGTGTTTACCTACTTGGAATACCGTTAAAAATAGTAACAGATTGTTCTAGAGTAGCTCGATGGGCTTTATTGTTGGAAGAGTTTAACTATGTTATACAACACTGACCAGGTTTACGAATGAAACACTGTGACGCATAGAGCAAAAAGCCAATAACCATGATGATTCAAAGGAGTACACTAGAAAAATTACAGATTGCACAATAATAATAATAATATTTATTTCTGCATCAAAAATATACATTTTTTACACTCGTCATATAGAAAAAAAACTTACAAAGAGAAAAAAGCACAAAGCACATAATACATAGTAAAATCACATGTAGATCATTATTCTATGATTTGATGTTGTCATGACCGACGCCCATTGCCACAAAATCCCTTTTAAAAAAATCATATTCAAGAAACTCCGAATACGAATAGAAATCTCTCAACAGCAGAAATTGCTTTATCAATGTTGTAAGCTTGCTCACAGGTAAAAGTGTAATTGTTAAAGGTAATTTATTATAAAACTTGAGCGCAGTAAAATATACTCCTTTCTGTGACTTAGACAGTCTGCAAAATTTAGGTTTTTGTTTATAATTATTACGGGTTCTGTAACTGTGTATATCTCTGTGGGCGGTATATTTATCTACATTGTTATGTAAATACAACAGAGATCTCATGTATGATTCTCATCTATAAAAAATTCACGGCACTCTTCTCGTTACTTTAGCTCACATATGACACGAATGGCGCGTCGTTGCAGCCGAAAAACCCTAGACCAACCCGGGCAGTTCCCCCAGGCCAACAGAGAATATGATAATAGTGATTGACACAGTGCAAAGTAAGCAGTTCTCAACTCCGGTCCCGATACATTGCCACCCAAAATGCGTAACACAAAAATGTTGCTGCTCAGCCTTCCGCAAAGTATACTCACATGCTGCTCCCATTTCAATGTGGGGTCCAAACGAATACCCAAACAATCTACAAATTGCTCACCCATCAGATCTGGCTGAACGCCTCTCAGTGTAAAGACAGCTTCAGCTGTTTTGTTGGAATTCATATTTAGGCCGTCCTCACGCAAACCACTCCTCAACCTCAGAGCGCGATACCCGATTTATTGCAACAGCATAAATGAGGATTTTATGTCTGCTGATTAAAGTAGTGTCGTTAGTATAGTATATGATTGGAGACTTAGATACTGAAGCAGGCAAGTCATTTATATAAACGAGGAAACGTAGAGGCCCCAACACTGACCCTTGTCAGATGTAGAATAGCTATCATTACAACAGACTATTTGTCTTCTGCCACCAAGGTACGATTGAATCATCTTAATATTACTGTCACCAAAGTTATATCTACTCAGCTTCTGTATTAATAAATTATGGTTCACACAATCAAAGGCTTTGCTGAGGTCGCAGAACGTAGTTGTAATATACTCGCCTCTCTCAAAACAGTCTGTTGCGTGTTGTACAAAATCCATAATCGCGTGTCCCGTGCCACGATTCTGACGAAATCCGTATTGACGTGAAACGAACAAGTTATTATTTTCAAAGAAATCGACAATTCTTTTCTTTATGATTTTTTATAAATTTTCTGGGAATACAGGAAGGAGTTAGATTGGTCGATAATTTTCTATTACAAGAGGATCACCTTTCTTAAAGAAAGGAGTTACCAAAGCATTGGTTGATTAATTTTGTCAAAGGCGATGATATTACATCTTTTATCAGCTTTAATATTACAACATTTAATCCGTATACATCCCTAGAAAAAGTATTTTTTAAAGAACAGATTATATCCCGAACCTCAATTAAACCGACCGGCTCCTGGAGGAATTTCCCAGGCGGTACAGTGATATTACCAGCTGAATTTTATTAAAAAGATCTTGGGGAACATTTATAAAGTAATCATTTACTTCGCTTGGGTCAAACATTGCTTTAGTATTACCTTTCTTGCTTATTCGATGACTGTTCACCATTTTCCACATATACTTACATGAATATTTTTTTTGTTTTAAAATCTCATCATTATATCTAACTTTAGCATCCTTTATCTTGTCTCTATAATTTTTTCTTAGAAAGTTAAGTTCTCGTTTTAGTTTCTCACAACCTGTGGCATTATGAATATTTCTTAAGAAATGCAGGCGATTCCTCATGCCTTTGAGATCTGCAGAAAACCAGCTTGTGCATTTCTTATTACTTTGCACAATTATTTTTTCCGGAAATGCGCTATGAAATGCATGAAGGATAAGTTCATGAAATTTATCCAACTTTTGATTTGCAGTCAAATCATCATGCGATATGAAATCCCAATTTATATCATATACAGAGTTATAAAACAAGATCTTTCCATGACTTGTAATTGGTCTGCATCTGACAACGAGAAGATAATCAAAGCTATAACAAAAATACTCGAAAGTCAACCCTATGATAACTACAACCTAAGTAGAGGCATACTGCATAAAAATGAAAATGGGTACAACGTATAGTGGTACCTACTACTATGCAATATCAAATTATTAAGAATGCGCACGAGAATGGTCATTTCGATATACAGAAGAGAAAAGATTTGATTGGACGAGAATACTACATTCCGCAACTGGAGGATAAAATTCGAAGAGTTATATGCAATTGTGTACTTTGTATTCTTTCCGACCGGAAGTTGGGTAAGCAAGAAGGTTATCTGAATTCTATTGATAAAGGCGATGCTCCTCTGCAAACATATCATGTGGATCATTTAGGTCCAATGATGAAGACAAAGGGAAAGGGATACAAATACCTATTTGTTGCCATTGATTCTTTTACAAAGTTTATGTGGATATAACCAACCAAAACAACATCGAAAAAGAAATGATCGATAAACTTGAATTGCAAAGAAGTGTGTTTGGAAATCCTGAGACTATTATTTCAGATAGAGGAACAGCATTTACATCGAACGATTTTGAGCAATATTGCCTTGATGAAGACATAACACATAATAAAGTATAATTATACTTTAATATGTCTTTATCTGATATTATAATATCAGATGAAGTTTTATAGCTATGTCAGGTACGAGATGCTCTTTTCTGGAAAAGATACCGATCAGGGCATGAATTTGTAAGGTTATCTGACACTGTGCAGATAATACTTCATGCATACCAAAATAGGAACGAAGCTGTACACACCATTCAGGTGGAAGTTTTTCGATGCTTTAAATTCTCGCATACACTTTTCACAGAGTGATCATCTGAGACATCAGAAATGATCAACATACAATTATCTATTTCACCTAAGGTTTAAAAAGACTACCATAACCCAAAACATCTGTTAAGCTTGCTACCCCTCATTAAATTAAAAAATTAAAAAGTGAACAGAATATTTAATTATTTTTGTTACTTACTTGCCAAGTTCCAATATTTGGTACACGTTGTCCAAACGGCCTCTGACAAACATAAGCCAATTTAAAAGCATCGCTTCTTATCTCAATAAAATTATTAAACATTGCGCATAAAGCAGCCGGTGGAAACGCAGATGAAAATAAAATAACGTATCCTAATTGCATCGTCATTTCGAGATGTTCAGAAAATGTTCCATCATACTACAAATACAAAATCAATTTTATTCTGTTTATAAAATTATTTCATTTACCTTAAACAAAGAACTTTCTAACTCAGCTTGACTCATACTTCGTTTACTTGTAACCCCTTCTGGTGTATCACCGTCTTTGTGACTATCAGATTCCGGTTCTTGCACTTCACCCGGAGGTGGTCTGGATGAACTCGTTGGACTTAACGCGCCCCAAAGATCGAAACTCATTTTGGCCAATTTTAAATGTTCCAACATGTATGGTAAAGCAGATTCTTTTAAATTACCGATTACTTGTCGTGAAATTAATAAAGCGGCAAGTTGCTAAAATTACAAAAATTGAAACAACAAAATAATTTAATTTAACTTTTACCTCTTTCAATCTTGCTTGATCTTGTAGATAAAAAGCGATGTAGAAGAGGGACATGAACGAGTTGATGAATTGAAACTAAAAAAAGAGATTAATTCTTTTTTCTTTTGATTGTATAAGATTCTTTTGAGTGCATTAAACTAAGCTGATAAAGTGGAAGCGAAAAGGATTGTTGATTTCATGCAATTTTGATTGATTGATAATTAATAAAATTTTTATAATAAATCTATTTACAAATTATACAATCTAAATAATCATTTGATTATTATTTTTGAAACATCTTTTTAATATAAATCTATTATTATAATTTTAATTAAACACAACACAAATGGGTTCGTCTACATCAAAATATTGATTTAGTCGAAATGAACTACTTTAAATAAAACAGACACATGAACTGGAAATATACAAACCAAAGCCACTTTTCCGATCAGGTGATTCTCATACTTGGTTTCAAGACGGTAATTCTCTGGCAGCAGCGTGAGGAAAACACGCCAACAATAAGTACCACTATTCTAACAGAACTTAGAAACTATTCTAAAATAGTGGACGGATAAAATACAGTTTCAACAAAAAAAATTTAAATAAAAATGTTTGATTTTAATCATGTTTCGAATATGTACAAGATTTGGAAATAATATCAAGTAAAAAAATGATTTTAAAAGATTTAAACAAAGCTGATTTTGAGTACATTTCGTGATTTCACCTATATAGTAATTCGTTACTAAATAACTAGGAATAAAGATTTCTTTATTCTAAATACCATGCAATGCTAGAATTTGGAAAAGTAGTAGTTTATTTGAAATAAATAGATAATAAGAAAAAGTTAACTTTAGTACTAGAAGGAATAAAAACTTAAATTACCTTTATCGTTTAACCATAAGGCGATTTTGAAATAAGCCTCATCCATTAAGGTGATTACAACGGCCAACATCACCTTGGGAATATATCCTAACCAAATTGGGAAACCTCGTACGTGTATTTGAGCATCCCACCAATCCTTAAAAAATTTAAAAAATATCAAATATTCAAAAAGCAAAAAGTACAAGAATTAATTTATCAAGAATTTATGACAATAACAAAACTATTAATAAAAGAATAACACCGTCAGAATGGCAAAATAGTATCACCATCTCTATATTCAAAAGGAATCAAAGAAAGACCCAACAACATTACTAAGGGTCTTAAAATTACTTATTAACATCTTTGCAGAAAAAATCAGTAACAATATAATCACTAGGAAGAAATTGCAATGCTTCCTAAATAAATAAATCGACAGAAAAATGGAGGCCAATTGAGAAATGAAAACCCAATCTATCGGAGGGGAATCATAAATAGGTGAAATTGAGAAATCGAAGTAAAGGAATAGGAAGGAGAAGAGATTTTATTGAGGCTAAAAAACACGCCGCTTTGACGTTTTCGGATATGGCTTAGGTTTAGTGTGGAAAAACGATAGGAGAAATGTTATGTGTGGATAATAAATCCATTAAAAAACCGTGCTATACTCAAGAGTTGAGGAAAGAGTTGGAGATTTTATCGACAGCATTGCAGAATGCAGTGTCACACAGAATAAGGGGAAAGATGTTGGATCTCTTCTTAGAGAAAGGGCTGCGGCAAGAGTGGCAGGGGATGATTGAAAGGAAAATGCACAAGGAGGTGGAAAACATCAAACAAGGAATGGTGGGGGCTACATACAAGGCTATAAATGAAAGGTGGAAATGATAGTGTATTTATTGTGAAGGAGAGAGAGGGAGCAAAGTAAAAGTCGTCAAAATACGACATGGATGGGATCATGATGGAAGAAGTGTATAGGAAGAACATCGCAGGAGAGGAATATCGTGGAAGAAGTTTAAAAGGAGGTTGAAGATGATGTTCAAAACCGGGATAGAAGATATACAAACGAGTGACTGGACTGACAGAGAGGGTATGTGAAGAGTTGTTAAGGTTTAGAACGTTATATGTGGATCTGAGTTACTGTAGGGTGGAAGAGTTTATAGATGTTAAAAGGTGTTACAGGTGTCAGAGAATCGAGCACCTGCAAGGGGCTTCTCGGGCAGAAGTAACATGTGGACGTTGTGGCGAGTAAAGCCACGAATGGCTGCCACTCTAAATGTTATAAATGCTTCAGAAACTGTGTCTCCATGCGGTACATTAATGGTAGACATTAGGCGTGTGATGATTGGCTGATTAATAGGAGAAGTGAGATGTTGAACGAGTGGACGGTATTGAATGAGCCAGGTAGATATTACCTTAGTGAGAGGGAGGAAGGATCATCAGTAGTCAGTTCTGGACGCGCATTTATTGACTGATTACAGAATGATAGAGTGGAGTGTTAGGTTGTGAAAGGAGAATGAAAACGAAAAGAAGTAGGTTTAAGTAAAGATGAGCAGATTAGGGAAAGTTAGAGAGGGCGTTGGATAAACATATTGGATGGTGGGTTTCCATGGGGAAGAAAAGTAAGGGAGATAGTAAAAATGTGGAATAAGGCAATAAGGAAGGCATGTGAAAACGTGTGAGCAGAAGAATGAAAAGGAGACGTGGAAGTTGGTGGAATGAGGAGTTACGGAGGAAGTGAGGACCGTTGAGGAAAGCAAGAAGAACAGATCAGACCAGGAGATCGTTAGGTGGCGACACAGAGAGCCAAAAACAACAGTTTGCGCAATCTCGAAAATCATGCAAATAGGAATTTAAGCCTCTATTATGGCAAAAAGAGAGGGAAAAGAGATGGTGTAATAGAATGAAAGACAAAGGATGGATAGAGTAGGAAAATATTTATCTCTTCCCATTTCTATTTTGGATCTAAATTGATGCCGAAGTAACTGGTTCAGCAAAATGGGTACATCGATTCAACCAGTCGATTTATGATGTAGCCTAGTGAAGATAAACACAGCACTTCCTATAAATAAGCAGTGACATAAATTAGTTAAATAGCTAGTTTTGTGATTTTTGAAAGAACATATTTTTGAATGTTAATAATCTTATTAATGCAAATAAAGAAAGCATGCGTTCAACCAATAACCACAAGTGTGAAGAAACGAGGAAAAAAGAAGCCATAATGTGTACTGTGCATGAAAGTTTTGATAACGGAGTATGTGCTCCAAGTAAATTGAAGCTCCATCTAGAACCTAATCAGCATAGCATGGCTGGCAAACCTCATTATTACTTGCCAGGAAGTTTTAAAAACTTTAACAACATAAAAATAATTAAGTTAAATAACTTTTTCTTTTTGTACTTTTGTTTTTATTTTATTTAATTTATGCTCCACCGGTTTCGGCCGCAGCCATTATTCAGGAGCGTCTACAATTAAACCACATACAATTATTAACAAATAAAATATAAAATGAAAGTGTGATATTAAAAGAAACATGGGTTAACTTAATCTAAAAATAACTTACGTCATTTTTTTTTCTTGAGATTTCGAGTAAAAACATTACATGAAACATGTATACAATAAACAAAAATTCGATTTTTCTATCTTTTAACAAATGATCACCAAAATATGACAAAAAACCCAAAATAACGAATTAAACTTAAAAAAAAAAGATTAATATCCATAATCGATTGTAGAAAACATAGTATAAGAAAATACAAATAGACCTAATGAAGAGCTATCAAGATCTATCAATTAAATATCACCCTTTGGAAATGGATGAGATTATGACCGAGGAGAAGTTGATCAACTATAATCATATCAAGAACGACCAAATCAGGAAAGAACGAAAGATAGAAATCTTACGCAAAGATAAAGAGAACAAAAACAAGAGGAAGAATGAATATGTTAACCCAAACTATACCTTCCATCCTCGCATAACAAACCTCGAAATTAATTTTTAACGCAAAAGAAATAAAACTTTTATCTAAAGGTCACAAGTTTGCTTTACCTACAGAAACTAATCTCAGTTTAGCAGCAATAGAAATGGAAGTCAATATCAAATATCTTCCTAACCAAAATCAAATGAGGAATGATATTAAGTTTCTATTAACTAAGAAAGAATAAAAAAAAAGGACGAAGATCAAAAACCAGGAAAGAAATACTATTCTCTAAAAAATCAAGTTTCTTGCCTAAAGAACATTAAAAAGAAGATCAAAAATAATGATTTCATATTAATTAATTGCAGACAAAAATGCGAGAATGGTTATACTACATAAGGAGGATTATATTAGTAAAACCATAGATATTGTGATAAATTTTAACATCTCTTAGTTCACCGAGAGAACATAACCTTAAAATTGTGACAGAGAGATTCTTTGTTGGTAAAAATCTTATCTTAAACCGTTTTGTTTGTTTCCAAACGTATCAATTCTTATAGTTCAGCTCCTAAAGCACATTTTTCATCCATTCCTTAATGTTTTAACGTTATTTTGAGGAAGAAATCCTTGATTTAAATTTGAATTTTTCTAACTTTGCTCATTGTTGAAATTTGACGTGTACTCCAATGTATGTCTGAAAACAAGGAAAGACAACTTTGAATACGAAGTTTTATTACGTTTTATAAAGGAATAAGGGAGAAATCAACGAAAAAAGAATTAAATTTTGAAGGTTAATTCCGAGAAAAATCAAGAGATGACGCTAGTTTCGAAGCAAGAATTTTGAATTTTGAAAAGGGCGCGAAGCTGTGAGCCAATCAGAAACGAGGAAAAAACAGTTGGAGTGCTGGGGTATATAAGGAGATCGCGAATAGAGCACGAGAGAGTCGTCGTCTGACCAGCGTCAAATCCACGTCGTCAGTTAGAAAAAATTTTGAATTTTAAGAGATAACCTCAAAATTTTAAGATAATTTTTTTAAAGTCAAATCAACTTACGATATTAAAATAAAAAGAAAATCATCCTACAACCTATTCCGAGAATTCCTGATACTTCTTCGAGATCATCCAAGACCCTATTTCCGAAGAACAAGCAGTTCAAAATTCCCGTAGGAAGAATCCTGTAGAAAACCCAGAAACTAGATCATGCTTCGAACACAAGAGACAATCCATAATCCAGATACCACATTGAATTCCAATTCTTTCTATTTCGCAGTGAGTCGGATGATAATTTTATTTTTATTTTCTTATTTAACATAACCTACAAAAAGAAAAATCAAAGAATCAAACTCAAAGAACAAATCACAAGAGTTTCATATAAATTTGATCAATACTTACTCGTCGGTAAAGATTTATTAGTTTTCTTGAATAACGTTCATTTATTTAACACTACTTTTATTTAACGAGTTTTATCCTACTCTCTCTCTCTCAAATAATAAACGAGTTCTCTCTAATATCGATATTTCAGTCGATAACCGCAGTTATCTATTTTATTTAAAACTTATCTCTCGTTAATAAGCATTGTTATTAAAGTAAGTTTAGGAAAACAATTTTTTTTTTGTTACTCATAAAACGAGTTAATTTTATTTTGTGTTTAATTAAATTAATTTTTGTCGAACCTGATTAGTTTTCTTTTGAACCTGAACTTGCCCGAAACCCTGAGTTTAACAAGAGTCTCACAAAGTTAAAGAAACCCAAATTTATAGTTAAATTATATAAATTGTGTAAAAACGCACGCACAAGCAAAACAAAACTTAATATAATATATTCATATTCATTGAGAATAAGAATTTTAAAAAACTTAACAAAAATCCTATAATGTCCTTTCACAATAGACTGAAGGCAACAATTAAAGACTGCAGTCATACTTTACAAAAATATGTTCCACACCTTAATAAGATTAATCAGATGAACCCTCAGTTGCCCAAAACGTATGGACTGCCCAAAATGTATGGACTGCCCATAAGACCAACATTCCGATGAGACTGATCATTTCAAGCATCAACTCCAGCACATATATTTTGGCAAAGATTAGATAGATTAGATATTTTGGCTTAGATAGATATCTTAAGAAAATTACTCAAAGATGAACTTCAAGAAGAAAAGGAAGCAGACAACATACACAACCTTTTCAAGATTTGCACCGAACAGAATTCTTGCAGTTTTGAGGATAACATTTACACATATCCAGACGGTTTACCC